TCCGAAATTCTATAGATACTGGAACCGTTCCAACAAATTTAGAGGATGGCAAATATAACCCCACTACTGAAAATGGGAGTGAGAGGAAAACAGACCAGTTATCCCAACATCAGTAGTGGGGATAATGCTAGATTCTAAAATATATGATATCAACTTTTGGAAAGCATTAATGGGATTAGACAAAGCCAGCATAGGTTTATGAAAGGCAAATCATGATTAACAAATCTGCTGCAGTTTTTCAAAGTATATCTGGTAGAATAGATAGGAGAGAACATGTGGGTTCAGTGTATTTGGATTTTCAGAAGAATTTTATAAAAGTATCTTGTAGAGGTTAATGGACTAAATGTTTAAAGCATGTGCGTTAAGGGGTAATGTATTCGCATGAATTGAGAATTAGTTGACAGAAAGGAAACAGAATGGGAATCAAAGATCTTTTTATCAGTAGCAACCAGCGCGTATTGGGGTACCACCAGGATTAGTGCTTGGATCCCAGCTATTTATGATAAGCATAAATGACTTGATTGAGGAAACCGCATGCAACATTTCTGTTTGCTGATTACACAAAACTAGGGTGAATTTTGAGGAACCAACACTGAAGTTGCTGGAAAAGCTCAGCAGGTCTGCCAGCATCTGTGAAGAAAAAATCAGAGTTAACATTTCGGGTCTGGTGACCCTTCCTCAGAACTGATGGTAGCTGGGAAAACAACAGTTTATATGCAGAAACTAGGGAGGGAGATGGGATAGGGAGTAAACGATAGGATAAAGAATAGAGCCTGAAGTGTGGGAAGAGCAGTTGGATAGACAAAGGAATTGATAATGATCTGGCTAGGAGGGTGAATAGCTGATAATGGGGAATGTTAGTGACTAACAATAGGTAGTGTGTAATGGCAGGCTATGTGATAACAAGGCCTAGTGTGTGGGGTAGGGGGCTAGAGGGCTAGGATATGGGAGAGTTTAGGCCCTAAAATTATTGAACTTAATGTTGAGTCCGAAGAGCTGCAGGGTCCCCAAGCAGAAAATGAGGTGTTGTTCTTCCAGCTCGCGTTGAGCTTCGCTGGAACAGTGCAGCAAGCCAGAGACAGAGATGTTGGCCAGGAAACAGGGTGGTGTGTTAAAGGGGCAGGTAACTGGAAGCTCAGGGTCTTTCTTGTGAGCAGAATGTAGATGTTCCGCAAAGCGGTCACCCAGTCCACGCTTCATATTCCCAATGTAGAGGAGACCATATTGTGAGCAGCGAATGCGGCAGACTAGATTCTGGGAAGTGCAGGTGAGATGTTGCTTCGCCTGGAAGATATGTTTGGACCCTTGGGTATTGGGGATGGAGGAGGTAAATGGGCAGGCGTTGCACCTTTGCTGGTTACAGGGGAAGGTGCCGTTGGGCTGTGGGGCTTTGTTGGGTGAAGGAAGAGTGGACCAGGGTGTCCCGGAGGGAACAGTCCCTGCGGAAGGCGGACAGGGGAGAGAAGGGAAATGTGTGTCTGGCGGTGGCATTTTCTTGGAGGTAGTGGAAATGGTGTCTGATGATCTTTTGGATGTGGATGCTGGTGGGATAGTAGGTGAGGACAAGGGGAACCCTATTGCTGTTGCAGGAGGGAAGAGACGGGGTGAGGGCGGAAGTGCAGGAGATGGGTTGGACCCAGTTGAGGGCCCTGTCGGCAATAGTGCTGGGGGATCCTCGGTTGAGGAAGAAGGTGGACGTTACAGAGGTTCCCTTGTTGAAGTTGGCCTCATCAGAACATATGCAATGGAGATGGAGGAACTGAGAGAATGGGATGGAGTCTTTACAGGTAGCAGGGTATGAGGCTGCATATTCCAGGTAGCTGTGGGAGCCGATGGGTTTATAGTGGAAACATCACCAACTGTTCTTCTTTCTTTGGGCTCTATCCTATCATTTACTCCCTACCCCATTCCCCTCTCTATTTTCTGCATATAAACTAACGTTTCCCCAGCTACTGTCAGTTCTGAGGAAGGGTCACCGGATCTGAAATGTTAACTGATTTTTTTTTTCTTCATAGATGCTGCCAGACCTGTTGAGCTTTTCCAGCAACTTCTGTTTTTGTTCCTGATTTGCAGCATCCACAGTTCTTTCGGTTTTTACTGAGTTTTCAGGGTGAAAGGGAACTTGGATGAATTGAGTGAGCAAACATTCGGCTAAATGTGAAGTTACTTACTTGGCTGTGAATAAACAGAAAGGTATATTATTTTGTGGTGTATTGGGCAGTGGATGTACAAAGGGATCTGGGCATCCTTGTACACCGGTCAATGAAAGTAGACAGGTAGGTGCAGAAAGCAACTAGAAGCCAAAATGGTTTATTAGTCTTCATTGCAGAAGCAGCAATGTCTTACCTCAGTTGTACAGGGCCTCGGTGAGACCGCACTTGGGGTATTATGTGCAATTTTGGTGTCCCTACTGAAGAAAGGCAGAGAGGGAGTGCATTGGAAGTTCACTAGCCTGATACCAAGGTGATAGAACTCTTCTATAAGAAGTGATCATTTGTTTGGACTTGTATTCACTAGAGTTTAGAAGGATGAGAGAGGACCTGATTGAAATGTATAAAATTGTAACAGGTCTGGACAGACTAGATGCAGAGAGGATGGTTTCCTGTTGTTGTGGAGTCTAGAACCAAAAGGCACTGTCACAGGGTACAGGGTAGACCATTTAGTATTGAGATGAAGAAAAATTTATTCACTCAAAGGGTAGTGAATTCTGTACCACAAAGCTGTGGAGTCTAATTCACTGAATATATTGAAGAAAAAAGGAGTTTTTTTTTAGATTTTAAGGGTCTAAACCTATCTGGTTGCTCAACTTTAGAGGGAATGTTGATCAAGGGGTCATGAGATAAAGTGGGAAGATGGCATGGAGATAGAGGATCACATTGAATGGTTGAAAAGTCTTGAGACTGATTGGCTGCTGCCTCCTGGTTTCTGTTTCTAGCCAGAGTCCATTGCCTCTTGAGGGACCATTTGAAAGTTGTAAAGGTCAGACATATGTTCAGAACCTGGCCTGCTATTATTTTGTTTCGTCTCTGCACTTCAAAACCATGTTTCCCTTGATCATTGGCAGGGGGGAATCAAGGGAAGAGAGTAAGTGTTATCCTAGGCTCCATGGCAACGTTTAATTTGAAGTGAGTTGATCGAGTGTCAGTCGCTACCTTTGGGACTCATTATCCGGTCCAGGGATTATAAAACTTTTTGCTAAGTCCCTCTTATGTTGTAAACACTCTCTGCAAACTCTAAGATGAGTGTTTTTTTTCCCCTGTATAAAATGTTACTATTGATTCAAATTCAGCTCACTTTGGACCTTCTGTTTGCTGTTCCACATTTGCGTTCTGGGAAAATTTTGTTTTGCTTTACTTTGGATAAAGTAGTTTCAGAGGATTGTTACTTCATGTGTAAAATCTGCAATGTAATATATAGGAAGCAAATTTTATTAACATTTTGATTTCCTCTGGGAAGTCTATGGGAGTCTGCTGGTGTTCAGGGAACCCTGCAAGTAGCTATGCATTGGCGTAATAGCTATAGTGCTAAATAAATCCGATGTGCATCCTGAAACAGAACATTGGTTACAGCCATTCAGCAGGTTTATAACTTGATAGGGAGTTTGGTGATAGGACATTAAATTAGTGATTAGCTTGCAAGGCTTATTTATAGATAATAGCTCCTGCATTTAGAGACAGCAGAAGTAGAACTCCATTTTATAAATTTGCAAGACAGCATCCCTAAGAGTGAAGTACTGAAAAGGCTATACTGTCTGAAATTAATATTTAAACTTCATACTTTTGTAAACTGGTATGGGGGATCCATGGTAATCTACATCTAGAAGAGCCATTATAAATATAAATCTCATTCAGAAAAAAATGCAAGGGAAAGATTTAATTTTTAAAAATACATGTTTAAAAAATTCTAAGTACGTAAAATATAAACAGTATTGCGAAAATTCAGGAGAATCTCTCATTCTTTATTTAAAATAAAATCCAGTAGTTGTAAGGAATTTGGTTCAACTTTTTAAACAGGCATTTTTGCATTTTATTATTAAAGATATTCCTGACTGAAATGATCTGCTAGGATTGTTGTTGATTTGAGCTAGATTCTGCATCTAAATACAGTTATCCTTAACAGTTAAATGATAGGATTGTTGAAGAGCTCTGAAATTAATGATCCAAATTAATCTCTTCTAAAGTTAATTATGTTTCCTTAATCTGTTGGGTTTGGCAGCTCTGATAGGTTAGCCCTGATGACACTAAAGGGACTAATGTTTTGAAAGACAAATGCCTTTTGTTCTATAAATAACTTAACAGGAATAGATAACTAGCTGCAATGAATACTATGAAGATGATTGCTTTCACTTTTAATTTCAAGTTGTTGCATTAACCTTGTTTTGGAACAAATTATAGCAACATAGAAGTAGTGTAAAAGCAATTTGCTTATGGGGTTAGTCAGATGATACATAAAAACAAATATAAACAGTTTCAACCCTAGATATTTGTAAAAGACGTAACAAAGACATGTGCAATAGCACGGGTGGAATCTGTGGAAAATTTGGCTGTTTGCATTTCAGATCTTAAGCATTCTATTGTAATATTTTCTCGTCTCTGCAGTATTTTGCATCCTTTCCATAGTTGTCATAATTTCATATCGAAATGAAGTTTGATGTAAAATCCTGATAACCAGAAATGCATGTATCAATGAGAATTTTAATTAATAAATGTGATCAAAGGCTTATCAATGCAGTCGCCTTTTTATGTGCTTTACCTACTCTTTTCATCCAGGCTTGCTCAATGGGCCCTAATAAATGAGTCTTTTGGGAACAGTAACACGCGAATTGTTTCTCACCTGTTACCGATGATGACTATTGTCAGTGTTAATTATTTGCTATGATACATATTCCAGAAGTCTTTGGATGAATTGCACTAATGTTATGAGAAACATTTTTAGTTTGCAAAGAGACCTGCTAGAAAATACAGTTGGTGCAATTGTTTACATTTCTTATTCTATAATAGGCAAATTTATACAGCGGATCGAAAAGTAGACCACCTTGAAGAGGAGCTACTTTTGAACAAAGAGCCCAATCGAGGAAGACTGAAGACTGAAGAAACTTGCTCGCTCAATAGTGTTTTTCATAATTTAGGAATGAGCAATGGGCGAGATGGTGATAGATGTATGCCATCTAATCCATTTCTTCCTGATAATCAGACCTTGGAAGCAAATGAAGAGATGTTGACCTCAAGCCTGTTGGAAGATGACATGCCTGAAGGAATGTTTGATATGCCTGAGGAAACCGAAGCGGAGGATGATGCTCTGTCCACCGGTAGGTAACAACCAAAGTAATTGCATCTCCATTTTGTTTTGTTCATTATGCCTCACTTCTAACCTTGGCCATTTTGCAGCTTCTTTCTTGAATTCCTGAAATTGTGTGGGTCCTGGCTTTTGCTTTCCATTTATAACTAAATTTATCTGTGAACAAGTAAAGGTATTTCTTCATGAAGGGCCTACATTTTAAAATTTTAAATTTTAAAAGTAGTGGAAAATTGTCTTTTAAAAAAGAAAGCATCCTCTGGCTATGAAATACTGCCAAGCTTTAATTCTTGAAACTCCTCCTCAGAGGGTTTTCATTATTGAGTGGTGGAGTAGGCTAGAAGGACTGAATAGCCTACTGCTAGTTCTTCTGTTCCTTCATCATTAACATTCATTCCTCTTTATCCGCATTAGTTCTGTTCCTGAGAACTGCTGTGAGTGATGAAATTCCCCTGTGTGGAGCTCATTTAAAAATAGGTTAAAATCTCAGATGTGAGTTTTGCCCACAGATGTTGAATTATGTTGCTATTTATTTTTTGGCGTGGGTACGCAAATTGCATGGATACAGAGGATTTACTGTATATGTTTTGTTATTGGATGGCAGAGAATGCTCAAAGGGCTGTATGACCTATTCCTGTTTCCTCCCAAATTGACATTGGGCTGCCAAGTTAAAGTAGAATATCTGCCCCTGTTCATCAATCTTAAAGGGCGATAAGATCTGAATGGGAATCGCATTGTGTGATGTTAATGTTTATTGGTGGGTAGTGGCACAAACCATAACTCAGAAAAAAGCTTCCTAATTTAATCTCAATTGAAAGTTTAACATGGTCTCAGATGTTTTGCTGCATGAGTTGTACAGTTTACTGAGAGAATTGTTGTATGGGTAGCATTAGCGAATTTGAAACCAAGCTCTCAAAAAGAAAAGCAACCTACATTTTTTTTTAACTGCTTTAACACTTTTTAACATTTGTTGTTATCTTCTCTGGACCAGATGATCCTGTACTAGAGCCAGCATCTATACTGGGTGCTGATCTCTTATCCCTATATCGGAGAGGATGTTGCCCTGACATAACCCTTCACGTTGAGAACAGAATTTTTCATGCACACAGGTATTGTACAAGTAATTACGCCAGCATATTCTCTGAGGCATGAAGTGAATGGAAGAACTAAACTAGAAATGCTGATTTTTTTTCTAACCAATATCGATGGAAGTAATTGAAACTAAATGTCAAGGTCTTTCTTTATGGAGGTTCTGTGTATGTGTATGTATACACAAGCAGGCTGCAACATTGATGCAGCAATGAAATTGATTTTGTAGCATGAAACATTATTGCCATGTATGGTTTTGTTCACCTATATCACCAGCAATCAAATTTTCTAGGCTCTCTACTTTTCAGGATTTTGAAATTCATTTGAGCAAACAGTCATTTATGGGAAGAGGCATCTCATCTTTGCTTCCGACTGCCTTTTCCAATTAGGATCCAGATATTACTTTTCCTGTTAGCGATATGGTGTAACAAGTTTTGTGACTCAATCTTCTGTTTTTATTGCTTCAATAATAAGTCAGCAAATGAAAATGTCATTGAATTGTATATTTTCTGCTTCCATCAATGAGTTCATTACGCAACTTCAGCTAAATCAAGTCAGGTTGATACAAATTTTTTTTAAAAGTTAAAAATAGTGTATGGAATAGTTAAGAAATGTTGCAAAGTTGGAAATGTTGATGTGTTCTGTTATCCAGGGCCATCCTCTGTGCTCGCTCCAGTTATTTTGCAGCAATGTTGAGTGGAAATTGGGCAGAAAGCTTTCAGAAATCGATCACTCTTGCTGGGTAGGTATGATTATAAGGGGATGGTGGAAAGGGAGTAATGATTTACCAGGGAACATATTGACACCGGTGCACAATATCTCTGTGGGTCACATGAAAGAAAACATTTAAACAAAATTTTGTTGAACGTGTAAGGAAGCTATTTGGCTTTTATCTGTGGATAAAAGAAAATGGGAAGTGAGTGGGGCACTGTCTTTGAGTATGTTCCACTCTGTCCCTGTGTAACAGAAGCAGCAAAAATTAAGGAGTTTAATTAATGCTTGAAAAATGGTTTAGCTATTTTTCCATACATTTTAATATTGTTGTACAAAGTTGATTGAGTGATAAAATGAAAGTCTGCTGCCTTGCCAAATTTTTGCACATTTATATGAAATATTTTTTTAAGATTGCTATTGTGTTGCCAGAGGTCGAGGGTAACCTAGGAGAGAATTAAGAAAATTAATATTGGCAGATGAAAAAGAAAAACTAAAATCTGACCAAACTCAGGACATGCCAGCCCTACATTCTAAAGTTCTAAAAAAAAAAATCTCTCTGGACAGTGGTTGCCTTTCCAAAATTCCCTAGATTCTGGAATTGTCAAATTCATTAATTTATAATCTAGAATGCTACTATTTGAGAAAGGCAGCAGGGAGACAATTTGGGAACTACAGGCCAGTTAGTCTGACATCTGGAAGGCTGCAGAGTCTATTATTAGAGAAGCCTGATAAGTGTGCTTGGACACAGTCCAAATGATTTTTATGAAGGGGGAATTATGTTTGACAATTTTTTTTGAGAATGTAATTAGTGGGATAGATAAACGGGAACCAGTTGGATATAGTAATCCTTGATTTCCAAGTAGCTTTTGATTAAAGTCCTGTAGAAAAGATTCATCTGTAAGATTAGGCCTTGTGGATTCGGGAGTGCTATATTAACATTAATGAAGGGTTGACTAATGGACTGAAAGCAAGAGTACGTAGGCATAAATAAGGTGTTTTCGAGATGGCAGGCTGTGCCTCCTGAAGTGCTGCAATGATCAGCGTTGATGAAAAATCAATAATATATTCAAGTTTTCTGATAACACAAACTAGGTGGAACTGTAAGCTGAGTACACAGACTGCAATGTGATACAGACGGGCCAAGTGAATGGGAAACAACCTGGCAAATGGACTATAATGTGAAATATGAGAGTATTCTCTTAGATAAATAGAGAAAAACAATATTTTTTTTAAGTGTGAAATTTGTAAATACTGATGTTCAAAAGACTTCGGTGTACTTGTGCACAAGAAACACAAAGTTGGAACAAAGATATATCAACAAATTGGACAACAAGCAATTTGAATTCCTTTTGTTGCAATGGGGTTGAAGTACTGAAATAAAGAAACATTGCCACAATTGTGCAGGACTTGTTGAGACCACATCTTGGAACAGTGTGTGTACAATTTTGGCCTTCCGATTTAAGAAGGATATAATTGTGTTGGAGGCAGTTTGTTGCAGGAATGGTCCCTGGGATGAGACAGTTGTCCAATGATAGGCTGTATAAATATGACTGATATTTTTCAGAGCCTAGAAAAATAAGGTGCTCTTATTGAAATGTACAAGATTCTGCAAGGGTTTGACAGGCTAGACACAGTCTGTTTCTGCAGTCTGTAGAAGCTAGAACTTGGGAGCACAGATAATAAGATAAGGGAGTAATTGTTTCAGACTGAAGTGAGAAGAAACTTCTTGACTCAGTTGTGAATCTTTGAAATGCTGTACTTCAGAGGGTTGTGAATGCTCCATCTTTAAATATATTGCTAAATTTCCCTTGAGAACAAGAACTTCTAAAGAGTTGAATTTCCCAGCAAATAACAAAGTATAGGGACACAGAATTTTTGCTTTTAAAGAATTGTACGGGAACCAAAATAATCAACTGATGAAACATGAACAAAAAAAACTTAAATATAAAGACTACTTTCTCATTACCTGACACAACCGTACTTTTAAAATTTGGCCTGCTGTGTATTTTGTGGTATCTTGTAGCCTGCGTTGGTCAGAGTTCACGCCCTTCTTTATTTCTGTTCTTTCTTCATTTCTTCAATATCAAACATTTTAGATTTGTAGTTCAAGAAAACTGATGCTGAAACAACAGGAAGTTCTAAATGCACGCTCTCGATCTCTGCAGAGAGACAGTATTTTAAATAATCTGAGATAGTAGGAACTGCAGATGCTGGAGAATCCGAGACAACAAGGTGCAGGGCTGGATGAACACAGCAGGCCAAGCAGCATCATAGGAGCAGAGAGGCTGACGTTTCGGGCCTAGACCCTTCATCAGAAAAGGGGGAGGGGAAGGGGGTTTTGAAATAAATAGGGAGAGAGTGGGAGGCGGATAGAAGAGGGATAGAGGAGAAGATAGGTGGAGAGGAAACAAACAGGTCGAAGAGGCGGGGATGGGGCCAGGAAAGGTGAGTGTAGGTAGGGAGTTAGGAAGGGGATAGGTCAGTCCAGGGAGGACGGACAGGTCA